TACATACTTGAGTGTTTCTGTTTCCATACAACACTCTTTAGTGGTGACTTTTTATACAGCACACTTAAGGTGTTACTGTTTTCATACAACACACTTTTGGTTACTGTTTTCATACAACAAATTTGAGTGGTAACGGTTTTCATATAGCTCACTTCAGTAGTTATTGTTTTCATACAACACACTAAAGTGTTTACTTTTTCCATACAGCACACTTAAGTGGTTACTTTTCTACACAACACACTTAAACTATTACTGTAACTGTTTTCATACAACATACTTTAATGGTTACTTTTCTCATCCTACACACTTGAGTCGTTACTGTTTTCATACAACACACTTGAGTGGCAACTCTTTTCATACACCATATTTGAGTGTTACTGATTTAATACTACAGATTAGGGTGTTTACTGTTTTCATACAATACTCTTTTGTGGTTACTCTTTTTATACAGCACACTTTAGTGGTTAGTGTTTTCATACAACAAACTTGAGTGGTTACTGTTTTCATACAGCACTCTTTAGCAGTTATGGATTTCATACGGCATAATTTAGTGGTTACTGTTTTTTACGCCACACTTTAGTAATTACTGTTTTTGTTCATCACGTTTGAGTGTGGTTTTTCATACAACATACTTTAATGGTTACTGTTTTCATACAGTCCACATAATAAGTAAATGATTTAAAACAGTACGCTTATCTGGTAACTGTTTATATACAACACACTTTAGTGATAACTGCTTTGATACGACACACTTAAATCCTTAATATTTTCATACAGCACACTTAAGAGATAACTGTCTTCATACTGCACACTTTTTTGGTTACTGTTTCCATACAGCATACTTAAGTGGTTACTGTTTTCATACAAAACACTCTAGTTTTTACTGTTTTTATACAACACACTTAAGTAGTTATTGTTTTCATATAGCATCTTTTACTAGAAACTATTTTTATATAGCACACTTTAATAGTTACTTTTTAATACAACACACTTAAGTGGTTTTTGTTTTCATACAACACACTTTCGTAGTTATTGTTTTCATACAACACACTTAAGTGGTATCTATTTTTATACAACACACTTAAGTGGTTACTGTTTTTATACATGCTACTTTGGTGGTTATTATTTTCAAAGTACACACTTAAGTCGTTACTGTTCTCATACAACACACTTGAGTGAAAACTCTTTTCATACATCACACTTGAGTGTTACTGTTTTTATACTACAGACTTGAGTGTTTCGTTTCTGTTTTCATACAACACTCTTTAATAGTGACTTTTTATACAGCACACTTTAGGTGTTACTGTTTTCATACAATACACTCTTTTGGTTACTGTTTCATACAACAATCTTGAGTGGTAACGGTTTTCATATAACTCACTTCAGTAGTTATTATTTCATACAGCACACTTTAGTTGTTACGTTTTTCATACATCACGCTTGATTGGTTAATGTTTTATATAACACACTAAATAGGTAACTGTTTTCATACAGCATACTTCAGTGGTTATATTTTTCATACAGTACACTTTTGTAGTAACTTTTTTCATACACACACTTCAGTGTTTACTTTTTTCATACATTACACTTAAGTTGTAACTGTTTTCATACAACACACTTAAATGGTTTCTGTTTTCATACAGCACACTTTAGAGTTAACTGTCATCATACTGCACAATTAAGTAATTACTATTTTGATACAGCACACTTTATTGGTTATTGTTTTCATTATGCACAGTTTAGTGGTTACTATTTTCATACAACACACATTAACATACTTTGGACCGCGTTAAAGGAGACACAGGCAAAAAGCTCATGTCTAGTTTTGAATTTTTCATTCATTTCTCAGTAAATGTCCTCAGAAGGAATACACGAGACAATAAAAAAGAACAAAACTTATCTCCGTATAAAGAATAAAATGGTGGTTTCCTAACTGACCCTCGTAGGTCAGAAAAAAGCGCTAAGATTTCACAATAGTTGTCACAATGAAGTCTGGAAACACTAAAGAACATGTCAAATGAATGACATAGACTTGTTTCAATCAAACATGTCAAACAATATCCACAATGTCTGTTATTGTAACTTTATGGGTTTGTTCAAGTCACATGCCTTGTTTTTAAAATTATTCGGGGGTTGTGTTTGCATCTAAATTTCGTTCAACATATATAGATAAATTTACGCTTCAAACTCAGAATATATAGAATTTATACCAACATTCATGCTGGGACTTAAAGAAATGTCATTTTACATTTGACTACAGTTGACTTCATAAGATCATTTTAATATTTTTGTCATTATTTTGCCTGAATATCCTATAAAGATTGGTTTGTTATTGAAGTTTTTACACTTTTTACTCAGTATAATCTTTTCACTGTAACTTCTTAAATTCTGAAAGTATTTACTTCAAAATTGAATTACCGTGAAATTCCGATTTATCTCCCAACCCTAATTAACGCCCCCACCCACTTTTGAAAACCTCGTGTATAATTTAAACAAAGAAAATAAATAAACTCTCTTACTAGTTTGGCGATTTATGACATATCCAGTATCATTCCATTTATGAAAAATATCCGTGAATCAAAACTTTAACACTTCAAAGTGTAGTCTGCTTGAAAAAGTAAATGTTGAAAACACAAAACGGTAAACATATTTACAGCACACACTCTTCATATAGCTTTGCACCTGGACAACTACACAGATGTGGAAATGGGCCTGTTGACACTGTGTAAATTATGAAAGTAGCATTGATTACGTCAGATTGTCGGCAGGATAAAAGGTGTCAACTGCAAGCAGGATCTTGGGGAATTTTAAGGAGGAAAATGGAGAGAGCTCGCGGTGAAGATCAAAGGTATCATGGGTTGACAGGGTGATGATGTGTTTGTAGATTTTTTTACATCGTTTGAAGAGAGATTTTTTTTTTTTTTTGAGATTATTTTAAAATCTTTTTTTAATCTTTATTAAACGCCCCCTTTTGAAAAATGTTACACCGGGGGCGTTAAATCGAGATTTTACGGTATATGTTTCTGATCATCAACCGCATCATATGTAACAAGGTTCACAACTAGGGAATTATCTTCCCTTGTCTTAAAAATTTAAAGAAAAAAAAGTTGTTTGTTTGCTATAATTTCTTTGTTTACTTTTTCTTTCTTTTTTTCTTACTTTCTTTTCTCTTTCTTTCTTTCTTTCTTTCTTCTTTCTTTCTTTGTTTCCTTTCTTTCTTTCTTTTTTTCTTTCTCAGTTCAGAACTGTTCACTTTTTAGAGGAGAAGATGTGTAAGCGGTCGGATAGCTCAGTCGTAGAGCAGCGGTACGGTATTCCGAGGACCCCGGGTTCGATTCCGGGTCAGGTTGCACATTTTACCCACCCTGTGACATTTGGAGCCCAACGTGGGGCCGTGACTGAATACAGCTCAGAGTTTAATTTACATTGCTCTGTAACTCTGTAAAATTCAAGGACGAATTTCAATAAAGCAGGGGAATATGTCACTTCTAAGATGTTAACATATCTTTGGGATCATAATTTGAGATCGCTATAATTAGTATCAATAATGTGAAATATAGCCATTTTGATGGTTGGTTAAATTTTACACTTAACATCAATCTTCAAAATTATGTAAATGTATTGACTTCAAAATTTTATTTGTCCTACGGATCAAAACTGAAGGTCACATATGAAGGCTTATAATTTTGATACGGATCTTACTGAATTATTGCTCTGTATGGCTCTTTTATTGATTTTTGCATGTGCCATTAATTTTCAAAACTACTTATGTACTTTATTTACTTTATTTAATCCATGTCTAATAATGATTCAATTTCACAGGCCACTTGTATGCAGTATTTTTTGTTGATCTATACGTTAGTTATATCAATCATGTACCTGGGGTCAAAAATGCCCTTATCTTTTTACCTTGGGATAACTAAGTTTACATAGACTTAATACAGTAATTATGACATATAAATATTTGTCTCCAAAAATTGAAAGCAAGAGCACATTTTTACCCTCTGTTTAAATTCTCACAGATATTAAATATATATTCACATCAAACTATCCTAATAAGAATGCATTTATAAAGGGAATGTAACCTTAAAAGTATTTAGCTCATCTAGCACGAAGTGCTTAAAAGTGCGCTTTAGTTTTACTCTGCGTCTGTCTTACTTTGAAAATGGCGTCATACAGTTTCTTAAAACAACATCTCCTAAACAACTTTGCCAATATTGATAATACTAAATAGGAATGTTCCTGGTATGAAGTTCTTACAAAATTGTTCGAAACATGCTACTCCAATGTGAACCCTGCTTTGCATGGGAATCATAAATAACAACCAAAAGAAGAAAAATAACTTTTAAGCCTTTTCATACAAAAACCAAGGGTTAGATAGTAGCATAAAACTTCACGCAGTAAGCGTGTACCACGTTTGTTTAAATAATAGCCCCTTCGGTAAAAATTGTTCCCACCCAAGGGCGTTATCAGTTTTCCATATATGTTTGTAGTAATAAATATCTCCTCTGAACCACAATATCTAGATCTAATATATTTGGCATGGAACATTTGCTGATGGACATCTTCTAAGTCTTGAAAATCATACCCCTGGGGTTATAATTGCTCCCTGTATTGTCATTGGATTTAGTTTATATAAACATAGAAAATAATAAAAATACTCTTCTGAAATTAAGTTATGTGTGTGGCGTGAATGTTGACTTATTACGTTTTAAATAATACCTCTGTGGTCTGAACGGGGAATATGGGACATGTACTAAGACATTTGACATGAAATTTGTTTACTCATCCTCAACCAAGTTTGTTAATATTACAGCGTTGGGTTCTGATAAGTTACCCCCAGGGGTTGTAGGGATCATGGGTTTTTCGAACCAAGAGCCATGCTTCAGTTAAAATCTATGAAAGAGTGAATGTCTTTGAAAAGTGATCTGTAAATTAAACTATGATTCCCGCAGTCATTATGCTACTTACTAGATCAAAATAAAAACATTTCTCTACAGATGAGCTGCCCGGAGAGATTCGACAAATGGATGATAGATCTATACAAATCTTTACAAAAGCGTTACAGGAAGGAAAGGTCCCAGTTCGAAACATTCGAGTTATGGTAGTGGGTCATTATGGTGTTGGAAAATCAACACTAACAAAACGTCTTTTGGGCATGCCAGTTGATATAACAATAAGAAAGCCTACAGAAGGTATAGATGTACACACAGACAGATGTAGACTCTTGAACGATGGAACATGGATGTTGCCCAAAGCAGGTACATTTTGAAAGGACAGATGTTCATACGATATTTGAACTTGATTAAAATTGTTTTGCAATACCTTTGCAATACATATATCTTAACCACAGTGATTACTAGAAAACGCCATATCCGATGGATAAGTAGGTCACAGAAGCAAGAAAAAACTTTTGAAAACATTCCCGGTCCAAATATCCTTAAAATTGGTTAGAGAGATTGTTTAGATAAATTCTATCTCAAGTTGGAATATGGGTTACATGGCGTCAAAACCTAGGTAACACAGCAACAATATGGAAACGCCTTGTTAATACACTAAAGGTAATTGTTTTGGTTAAAAAATTTAGTCAGAAATCTTGTTTTGATGATTTATGGTCAAGTCTGTATATGTGTTATCTGGGGTAAAAAAAATAAATCGAACAGCCCAAATTTGAAGAAAAAACAACAACTTATTAACACTATATAGACTACCGTTCTGGTTTCAATATCCCGGAAATTTGTCAAAAATGTGTAAATGATTTCTAGCTCAAGATCGAGTGAATATTGGTCACCTTGGTATACACTTTGTAACACAGCACAAATGTGGAAAAAGCCTTGCTTACACTGTTGAGGTTTGATTTTCAGCCAAATTGTGCCTGAAATTTGATAATTTCAAGTACGAATATAAGTCATCTAGGATCCAAAAATAGGTCATCCATGAAGACCATGTTAACACTCTATAGGCTAATGTTTGAATCTAAAATCCTTGAAATTTGTCAGAAATGTGGTTCAGATGATTACCAACTAAAATTCGAATATTGGCAACACAGCCCTCATATGGGAAAACCTTGTTAACATTCTAGAGGAATCATTTTCAGCCGAAATATCCTGTACATTTGTCTGAAAGGCTGTTTAGATGATTTCTGGGTAAAGTTTGAATATGGATCAACTAGGGTAAAAAACTAGGTCTCACAGCTCAAATGAGGAAAAACTTTGTTAACACTTTAGAAGTAACATTTTAGTATATCTTGGAAATTGGTCAAACATATTGTTTTAAAAAATTCTAGCTCAAGTTCTGATATTGTTTATCTGGGGTTATAAACTACGTCACAGAGCCTAAAATGGATTGTTCACACTCAAAGAGGTTACTGTTTCGGGTCAAATGTCCACAAAATGAGTCAGAAAGGTTGCTTGTTATGATTTCTAGTGAAACGTAAAATATTTGTCATCTTCGGTGTTAACCTAGGTCACAGAACGCACAAGAATGAAATCCATTTGTTAACATTCTCTAAGAATCATTTTCACCTGTACTTTGCTTCTATTTGTCTTTGACTTTGACTGACAATTTCTTTGAAAATTTAACTTTTTTGTGGATTAAAGATTTGGAAATATTTTTTTGAACTTGTTTTTAAATATGAAGGCAGTTCTTGAAATGACATAAGTAGTAGTAATTAATCATCTCTCGTAATAATTATGCTGTCATTATATTTTGGATATAATGGAATATAACATAGCTAGTTAGAAATTCAAGTGAATTGGAGAAACGTTTAAGATACACATATTATTTTCACAAATTACCATTCAGCTAAAGGGTTTTGTTAAAATCTAAGTGTTATGTTCAAAATCAAATTCTTATAAACTGTGACAAACCTGGCACTAAACAGGAAAGTATGTTTTTGGTATATGTTTGCTGTTACAAACATTGTATTTTCTAAACACAATAGGCTAAAATGTTGTAAGTTGATAGTTTGTAGGCATTCTGTATCCAAGAATGACAGAAAAACGCTGCGGTTTCTAGATTCAAATGATTTTAACTGTAAAATCTTCACATTTATACGCCGAAATCACTTGGATAAACAGTCCAATCATTCTGGTGACAAACATGACTCTTTGCTGGGCTCATTACCTCACAATAATTAAATTACACTTAAATCCCTTCTTTTTCGGTATACACCTAATGATAACATAGCCGAAATAAAAATCACCTACTTCTCTGACTGCTTGTTGTTCGCCATGTTCAACATCGTCCAATAACTTGTACACAGAGGGAAGCAATTCTGTCAAACATTCTGACAAAAGTTTGTCCCTTATTGGACTTAAATTTTACGTTAAAGCTTGAGAAACACCTCAAATATTTTAAAAGTCCATTGATTGGCTCTGAACTTTTGCAAACCTGTTCACCATCATGCCCTAACATGTGCACACGAAAAGGTCACTGCGTTCAGCATTTTGACAGGATTTTCCCCTTTTTTGGACTTAGAATTCACGTGATAGTTCAACATCATGCCTTCAACAAGTACACAGGAAGAGGTAATTCATTCAAATATTCTGAGAGAATCATTCCCTTTTAATGACTTATAATTAAGGTAAAGCTTGCGAACCACCTCAAATATTCTCCAATTCTATTGACATTTTGAATTAAAATTTTGCACAATTGCTCATTATCATGCCTCTGCTCGGAACACATGAGGAGGTAAATATATCAAGCATTTTGAAAGAATTGCTCCCCTTTTTCGGTCAATATGTCATCTGCCAGAAAGTATCACATATTTAATGGCTCACAAGTCAATAATTGTATCTTTTGAACTTAATAAAATTCTGTGGTTACTATTCAAGATACTCCTAATCATGTCATATACATTGTTCGTATTCTTGTGAGTGAATTATTTTCTTTTTGTTACTTCTTACATTACATTAGGTATTGTTTTACTATCAAGCACTGAAAATAGTTGAGTACCTGTTACTGACAGTTTTTGTTAAATTTGACACTCAAGTATGGTCTTTGACATATCAAATCAAGCTACGATGTTCGCGCATTTGTACGACATTGTCACATTTAACCTAACATTTATGTAATTGTTCTAAAGAGATCTACACCAGGTTGCAAAGTAATAGCATGGATACGCAAACTTATTTGAACGCTAGATAATACAATTCTGAATATTAAGTGCGATACATTTTCACATTTAAATAAACATTTGTGCGCAGCTTTTAGGGAACCATTTTAATTCATGACAACTTTATAGGTGAGGAGAGATAACACAATATTTGTACTAAGACACGTACAAACCATTATCAGTATATCAGAAGCCAAAACTGATTACCAAATTGTTGAATTATAGCAAAATGATGAATGCTTTTTCAAACTTCCATGTTTAGGTAAAGAACGCTTCAATGTACTCGGTCAGCTAGCTAAGATTTTGGAAGAGAATACAACAGGTAAATATATTTTTTCATTGTGATTTTGGGGAGTTCCTTGAAAAGTCAAACTGTTATGCCAGATCAATAAAAATATTCCATCTTATAATGTGGCACATATAGAACTTTATGGAATTTTATTGTAATTTCAGGTGATTTGACATTGAACACAGCTGAGAAACATATTGCACTTGAGCCATCAGCCGAGTTTATTATGATTTTTCAAGCCGTGTACGAGGTCAATTAATTTTCGTTGTGTACCTAATAATGCTTATTATATTATTATATATACAAGGTATATAATGGAAACACGAAATGGGGCCCAATTATGCTTACAATTGTTCGCAAGACACATAATTAGTCTTTTCAGATATCTTCGGATACTTTTGTTATTTTTGACTTTTATTTGAGAAGGTAATACAAACACGCGATGAAAATTGACACAGTGTTGAATGAACAGTATTTAGATAGATTTATGCTCATAATGTAATACTCTGTAAAGGCTACATTGCTTATAAATATGAGCGATAGAAGAAATTGATCACTGGGTATAAAATATGATGACTCAATTTTAGATCACCTGAGTACTCAGAGATGAACTTTTGTGATAGGAGTTTGCCCTTCATCCATCATTATCAAATATTCAAATAATATCTCCTGCTAAACTGCTTGTTGATTATGAAAAAACGTTATAAGGATTATCCTTAAGAAGTCCTCCTAAAAAAAATTAATTGTTCAGTGATGCATAACTAGGTCACATGAACTTAATTTGACTTTAGGAAAAAGTCTTTAAAAACTTGTTTAAGAATCTTCATTGCCCAGCCCATAGATAAATTATTTCGCATATAACACCGCTTTCTGATAAAGTTTTAAAAAGCATGCCACAGACGTTAAAAAGCCCAAACAAAGGGGTCAATAAGTTCAAAGGCTTATAAAGGATAATGCTTTTTATTAAATGAAACTGTTACATACAGAGTTTAGATTGTTGTATGTTGCATTGCCAAATGGACCTCCGCAAAATTTATATGAAGCTTGTGTATAATAGTAAATGGTCCCGCATTTGGGTCACAAAATTTTTATAGACTTTTTATAGAATTTTGTAAAGTAAAAATATCTTATTAAATATTTTTCTCAAGAATTACAATGCTTACAGCTTGATTATTTGACATGTGGTATTGCAAAGTGCATTTCTTTTTCTCTACACAAAGTGTTTAATTTGTGGTCCAGCCCGTTGATCACATAATCTATTTAGAGTTCTCCTTAGAAACAACAATGACTAGAAAATGTCCTTGTAGTCTTCTACATAAGTGATATAAATCATGCCCCTAGTGTCAAAATCGGTCCCGCCCTGGGGTTCATTTGTTCATTAATCCTCTTCCGCAAAGAGGGGAGGGGATAATATGAACTTTTCAACCGCTGAAAAAATTTAAAATAACTTGGCAGAAGTGATCACCATTATTAGAAGTGCATAGCGCAATAATTGGTTTGCTACCATTACTTGTTGACATTAAGATTATGAATATATTGGCACAAATAATCTCCACAATGAGACTATGTGCTTGTGATATGCATGACCCAACATCATGTCATTTTTGGTTAAAAGTCAAGAAGTACACAATTATGTCTGCTGTTGAAGGAAATCTAGCTGTCCCTCAGACTGTTTTCACGTATAAACTTGTATTGCCAAATACATTTCAACCTTTTATGTGAAACTTCAATGTCAAGAGCTTAAATATATTTCATGAGGCATTCCGAGGCAAAATTATTTAAAATTTAAAATATATATATAAGAAAAATAACAACTAAGGTAAAAAGTGATAATCCAATGTGACCTCATTACTATCGTTAACGTTAAAAATAAAAATTATTACTTTTTCTAGCAATCTATCTTAGCTAAGCGATACATGGCCGTCATTGCCCTCTTTTTAGATAAGGTTTGAAACGCCATAGTCTTGTACATGTACTTACATTGAGCACATTGGACATTTACTTTACTTTCATGTATCAGTCCATTACTTTCAATATGAATTCAAATGAAGCCAGCATTATCAGATGTGTCCTTGTTAAATACTCATAGTTAAACATGATAATTAGTTATTGCATAGGTGGTCAAGTGGATCGTTGATACTAAACCCCGTGCCTCTCACAACTGAAGGTACATGCTAGGCCAAGGTATTATGATAATTTCATGTGAGGAAGCTATCCTGCTAGCAAAGGGAACTTCGGTGGTTCAAAACACCAGGAATAATGCACATGGGTCACCTTAGGCTTTCCTCAGCCAGTAAAGCTGGGAATCGCCATAGATCTACGACTTATAATGTGTTCAGGACTAACAAAAAATTCGGTGACTTGCGCTTTTTTATTGATAATTTTAAACTTAAAAAAACAGTGCTTTTAATAAAGGATTAACATTGTTTTAAATCAACCTCCAACATTGAAAGTTGAAGTTGTTAAAGTTTTTTTTTTATTTAAACGCTACTCTGTCAGTTATCAAGTTATCTTTTCTTTTGTAAATCGGTTATTCCAACCCATTTGTTTTACCAACGCATACGGAGAGGTCTTGAGTTGGTAAATGATGACATATACTGGTATGAATTATTTTCGACAGCAAGTTACCAAATATTTAAAGAATTATTAAATGTGAATTTGTGAATAAACAGGTGACGACAGTGCTCAAACGATACAAACTGAAGTAACAGAAACAATATATACCAGAGATTCTACAGGTATGTATGAAAAGAAAAGCTATTTCTATGATATGCGCTAGCTAATCTGGTACATAACATACGGTTTATTGCATAGAGTACAAAGATAATATTTTGCACAATTCTTAATGCTACGGTAACTTACATTTTTAAATAACAACATTTTTTTGAGAAAGCAGAAGGTACTTAGCTTTGATATTCCGAACAAAACATCATGTACCTGTGCATTTCAATCAGTGTTCAAATATCTTTATTGTTACGATTTGCAGGGTTAATACTTTTATAATTTATATTGCATTTTTAAAAGAATTTCTTTATAAAAATACATACGGTATAGGGACTTATTAATGGTTGTATCCCTAGTTTTGGTTCTGGGAAAAATTGACCCGCCACGTGAGGTCATTGGATTTTAACTTCTAGGAACCTACATATTTTGCTCTCGTGAAACAACTAATCCCCCTATAAATTTAATATTTGACATGTAGATTTGCTTAGCCGAACTCTTCTAATGATTAACACATTATTGCGTTTTGGCAACAAGACTAAGTTGCTTAGTCTTTCAGAGTAATTCAATTTCAAAAGAAGGATCTCTAAATGTTTTAGTGTCACACTTACTTGCTATTAGGTTGATTGTGCTAAAATAAAACTTGTATATATAGGTCATAAGCAGAGACTTGTTTTTGCCAACCAAGTGCAAAGAAAATATTAATGAAACTTAATAGAACTATTTAGGAGATATGTAGTAAAATGCATTTAAATCTTTAATGTCTTTGAGGTCAGATATTGACCATAAAGGATTGCTTTGTTGCATTCGTCTTAATTTTAATTAACACCTTCATTCAGAAGTAACCAATCTTAAATAACTTGTGAAAATTGATTAACATAACTTTGACATCCAGAGCTTACATAGTTTGAATGTATCATCACCATGTGGAAATTTTTTCCAACGCTGCGGTCACAACGCAAATAACATTTGATTGTTTTCTTTAGAATTTATATAGACGATCAGATATGAAAAATATATCATGTTTTAGTGGATATTTATGAAAATGTTAAATATCAAAGTGTAACTACGTTGGTAGAATGTCATAAAACTAATAATGAGCATAATAATATGCAGAAACTAAAGTTGGTTTCCTATATATAAAGACACAAACCACTTTTGGTGGTGAGCTAGCTTTTCACCGACAGGGTTTGTGTGCCTTAAAACGTTATAAGGACCTAAATAAGGAAACCGATATTTCACAATGAAACAACTTTTAACTATCAAATGGTAGGGCTAAACGGTCTAGGACTTAGATATTCGACATTTGGCAATGTATAGTAAAGCTCTAAAAGAAGACTTTGCATGGATTTCTCTACTGGCACGCCTCAATTTGGTAATGTGAACCATCGTTTTTTGTCCCTTAGCTGGATTTAACTTTAAGGTATAAAATTGGGAAACATTGTGTAGGCAGTATAATGTTAAATTATAAAATTGATTGACATCCCTGAAATTAATACATATAAGTTGTTGCATTCTGGACTGTTACAAAGGAGGTTAGTTATAAGTTGGTGACATATTTTTTTGTGTAATTACAATTTAAAATCAAGACCATGATGTCAGAATTGTGCATTTTAAATACTATAATTCATCAACAGTTTTTATTGATGCAGGTTTATATATTAAGATATAATGGATTCCTAACAATTTTGATATTTTAATTACCCAATGACATTTAAACGTTTTTTTTTCCTTTACCGAGTTTCACGCACTTGTAAAATAATGACTAAGTATGCATTGAAATGTATGCTATTATGTCATCAGTTTATACATTTTTGACAAATGTTTTTGTTTATAGTACATTAATATAATTCGTATTTAATCTATTGTTAATCTCTTATGCTTGAAATCCTATTTAATCAACACCAAAAGTGATAGCAAATTTAAGGATGTGAGAAGGCATAATTATGATAATACATGAATTATTGTTTGAGTATGTTAACAGACCAAATCAGTGAACCAAATAAAAGAAATAATGTTTTTTTTTTATTCGAAAATACAGTTGATCCAAGTTATCATGGCAGTGTACAACAGGAAAAGAATGAAGATACAAAAATAAACTCCTCAGTACGTACAGGTAAGATTTAAGCAGATTTTCTTTTGAACATTTTTGAAAAAAGGGTAATCATTTTACATTATGTTAAACATGATTAATTAAGTTTCTCATGTATAAAATACTAAGTCAGTGTAAAAATTAAGGGTAACAGTAAAAGCTTACAAATTGTTTTAGTTTGAAGAAAAAAAAATGATTCTCACATGCAATAATTTATTAAAAGGAATACTTATATAATTCCTTATTACACTTTCCAGATTTTGCTCAGACAATTATAATGAAATTAGAATTTGTACCGATAATTTTACATGGACACTGTATGTTATTTACTGAATATTTAGAGTTTTGACATTGATAACGATACACGTTTCCTTGTCAAAAGATCAATATATCAATAGAGAACATTACGTTGAAACTCTAAAATGTATAATGGACTAACAACTGATCAACTTGTGAAAAATAATTCATGGTCAAAAACTTGAATTGTAGTGTTTCTCCAAAACAACTTATGGTTCTTTTCGAATGCCACATATAATTTCAGAGCCGTTCTTTGTGTCACTGGCCCATACATGTAATTTTATAACAAAATAGAGAAAAACAGAATCCCTTAAGAAAGCGCAACAATGCAACAATGAAAATGTTCTAATGAAATCATTGAACAACTTATGCGTCCTTTTTTGCTATTAGCCTTCATTAATTATAATCTTAATATTTTAATGTTTATTTTTTAAGAAATGACAAACCAGGACTGTACAAAGAAAGAAGGCGAGACAACTAAATCTCAAGAAAAAAAGGATGACAAATTAAAGGTTTAAATATTTTTATCTCGACGTTTTTGAAGGAAAAAAGAGGTATTGTAACAGTCATGGCGGTCCTCTGCAAACATTCATCTTGATCATAACTTTGAATGTTCTTAATGTATTGTCTTCAACTTTTGCCACAACAACCCCTGGGACAAGGCCTTCAAAAAAAAACAAGACTTCACGTGGGCTTTATTCATACATTCATAGCTTCTTAACTGTCTTTTGCTAGAATTAGCTGTAACTTTGGTGGTTTTTTTCTGAATTGATGTCTACTTACTTCAACATAAAACTCGTTAATGATAGACTTTCAAGTCAACCGGACAGAAATTAACCTTCGGTCATAATGACCTTGACCTCGAAGGTCTAATTATTTATTTGTTTTGTTTAACGAGCTAAAACTTTGTTATTTATGAATCAATTGGCCTCATAGTAAAATATAACATTATTTAGGTTAAGACCTTCATGTATTGGTCTTCAGATTGACCTTGACTCGTTCATGACCTTGATCTTAAATGTTATATACATGACCGTAACTTAGTAATTATTCAATGAATTATCCATATTCTTAAACAGCCTTTCGGATAAGGCCTTTTAAAACGTTGTACTGATGACTTTGACCATGAGCGTAAAACGACCTTGATTGTCCAGGTCAAATATTTGATTATTTGCTGAATTGTCATATTTTTATGTACGGATTTTTTTGTATATTAGACAATATAAGATATTTTACCAAATATGCAATTTTATTTATTTGAATTATATTCTGATCATAACTATAATTGACTGTAACTTTGTCATTTATCATTGGATTATCTTCATTACTGAACAAAACAATCTTTTTGAAAAGAGCTTTTATACGGTTAAAGTGCCCTTTACCTTGATGGCCAAGGTCAAATTATGGAGTTTTGACTAAGTCTTCATAATTTTATCATTTATGTAAAGTTTGATTCATACGAGGTCAAAACGAGACTTTTGACCAAACGGACATGTTGAATAATTTAGATATGACCTTGACCTTTAAATGACATTTACCGTCAAGATCAGTCCTATCAAAATAGAAAAAAAACATAAACTTTACTTTCTTTTCTTTGAAAGATATGTTTAAACCATTTTTTCCGGTTTTTGAAAAAAAGAGTAAAAATGTCAAGCATTACCCCGCCAAGAGGTGACTTTTCTTAAGTAGAACTTTATAAATAGTTAATAAAGAAGTTATTTAGAAATAGATCCGCTTACCTTTTTCTGTATTTAACATGAACCAATGACTTTACACATCTAATCACTTATTCCAACATCAGTGGCATATAACGAAATAAAATAAAGTTTACAAATTTTTGATGTTGCCTTGGTGACCTGTACAAAATTGATAAAAATCATGCCACTTGGACCAATATTGGTCCAACCGCAGGGATATCTTGTTATACCCCTGAAAAAAGAAGTTAAAGGAGGTATATTGTAGTCAGCTAGTGGTTTATTGGTCTAACCGCAGGGACAATTTGTTATAATCCCGAAAAAAGAAGTTTATAGGGGTATACTGTAGTCAGCTAGTGGTCGGTCGGTGTGTAAGTTGGTCTTGTCTTGGACATAACTCAGGATATACAAGAGATATCAACTTAAAATTTTGTAATTAGGTTGAGAAGTGCAGTGCAAAAGAATAGTTATTCTGCATTGCCTAATTTTAGAGTAATTGCCCTTTGATCATTATTATACTTTGAAAATTGTCTTGGACATAACTCTGAAACCACAATTGGTATTAACAAGAAACTAAGTAGGTAGACAGATCTCATTGAGAAGAATTGCAGTACATTAAAACTGTTACCCTGCCTTGTGTAATTTTATTTTTGAGTTATTGCCCTTTGTTCATTTTTACACTGTGAGCTTTTTCCGGGTCATAAATCTGAAACTTCAGGAGGTATAAACAAGAAACGTTGCAGGTAGATAAATCTTATTTGGGTAGAAGTGCAGTGCATTAGAAACGTAACTCTGCATTCCCAGATTTGGAGTTACTGTCCTTTGTTCATTTTATTACTATGAACTTTGTCTTGGACATAACTTGGGAACTATAAAAGGTATTAACTTAAAACTTTGTAGGTATGTCGATCTCATTAAGTAGAAGAGCACTGAATAAGAACTGTAACCCTCTAAGCCTAAGTTTTGAAGTTATTGCCTTTTTTATTTTTTACACTTTGAACTTTGCCCGGGACCTAACATGTGAACTATAAAGAATATCAATTTGAAACGTTGCAGGTAGATTAAATGTGCAGTGCATAAGGTCCGTAACCCTCCCTTTCCTAATTTTTGAGGTCTTGCCCTTTGTTCGTTTATCACTTATACCCAATCCAAACTCTGATTTATCGTATTGATGTAATAATTTAAAAACATTAATATTTAAGAAAAACTCTATAAACTATTGCATCCTCCTTGTGTGAAAAAAATATTAACTAAATAAATAACTATTCTGACAAGCACGTGTAGGGGGTATTCGGCACTTGTTACAATTTTAGTTTTTATAAGTGTTTTTTTTTTTTTTTTTTTTTTTTTTTTTTTTTAGTTTTTATAAGTGTTAATCTGATTTGAAACTAATATACCAATAACTGTTTTATTTGCAGCATTTAGCCTCTGCTTGTGGACCTAATCTGATGTAAATTTTTATTCATGCCCATTGCGCTAGGGGTCTCTTAATTTATCTAGACTTGTATAGAAAGGAAACATTTAAATATTCCTGTGTGAACTCATAATGCTATTCGGCTTGCCGCAGGCGTCACTTAATTTAGAATACTGATATAGAAAATAAACATAACTTCAATTTCCAGAAGAATCAATTTGTAGATTTATACAAAATACTTTTATCAGGACTCTCAAGTTAAAATTGTGTCTGCCCCTGGAGTTACTTGATTTTAGTTTTTTTTCCGATGTCAAGTTGGCCTATGCCATTTTTAGTGCTCCTAGACATATTCCGGCAAACAATCGTCCCTTCATCCATTTTTCCGTAGATCAATTACCTATTTTATATATTGAACATAAGTACCTTCGATACCAATTATTGTCTACTTTGTCATCGATTGGAACGTCAGTGCCAACGATGCATCAAAACAACAATATTGCAATTAAGTCACTACATTCGTCATTGAAATACATTGACATACAGGCCGGTGCTGGAAGAGCCCATTTATTGTTAGTGATGTTCTTTAAAAAGATAAATGTTAGGTCGATTTTAGTTTAATCCTAGAAAAGTGCAGATTATATCATATATAGTCATCAGTTATGTGCACTGTTTGTCATTGTAATCGTATTTTTTACCATTAACCTTATCTTTTTGTGTAGATGTTGATAGAGGAAGTAGTACAGAATGAAGAAAAGGGAGATGGAAATGTGTCAATATGGGATTTTGCTGGACAGGATATGTTTTATTCAACTCATCAGGTTTTTCTTTGCAAACGTGCTATCTATTTGCTTATTACTGATATATCTAAAGATATAAATGAAAACGTAGATCGTTGGAGTGAAGAAGAAAGCACAGAGCGCCAAGTTTCAGGTTAGTTCATTTTTTTTTCAAACAAACATCATATTCAAAGTACTAATTATTTACAACTTTCTTTAGAAAAGAAACCAATGCATTAAGACAGGTTCAAGGCTCGAGAAATGCAAAAAACTTGATACTTGAAAAGAATATCGAAAATACTAAGACAATGGTAAAAGTCACACTAAGGCCAATATCTCTGCACCATTATAACCAGACAACCAAAGTTCGATCTTTTGTAACTGTTCAACAAATTCAAACAATCTTTTATTGAAATCAAATTTTTATTTTTTTATGATCAGTGGTGAGCATTTGTGATAATAAACTGTATCTCGTCAGTCTTTTATTATTATTTGCAACAATTTATTAAAGTTTAATTTATTCTTAATTTAACAGAAATGACCCTCTGGTTTACCTCTGAAATATAATAAAAAAATAATAAAAGGTTAACAAGAGCTACGCTACAAATATACACAACAAATGAAAGATTTATCAATACTCTTCTAGGTAACTACATTGTCCATACTGAAATATTTGTCATGTAATAAAACGTTACTTGGCCTCTATTTAAGCTTTATTATTTACGCTCCTTGAATATATTTTTTCCCGCCAATAATCGATCAGATTATAGTAAACATACTTTCATTTTAGAATACATTGACTTTTGGTTGAATTCAATCCACCATTATTGCGGTTACTCTGAGAAAAATGGACCTCCTGTTGTTTTGGTTTGTACCTTTGCAGACAAGTTACAAGAGGTATGTTTTCATTGCTTAATACATATAGAAACGTTTTCGCTCAAATTATTATACTAATATCGTCAGCAAAATGTCATTTAACTTTTTTGTTTTGATAAAATCACTTTTTTGTCATTATTATGTTAAGAAAAACAAGGATACACCAGTCACTAAAATTTGAAAGTTGAAAATGATAAAAATGACTCCATTGACATAGAAATAAGAGAAAACGTAAGTGCAGCTTCAGAATGTGTGGTGCAAAAACTACTATAAGCACAATAACATCATTTTTTTAAACCAAAGTTGAATAGATACATCAAAATTATTTGTTACAAGGAGTATTGAAACAGCATCAATATATTTAGATATTGTATTATCAGTAAGCAATATAATTTCTTAATATACATCGTATATTAAATCTACTTTGAGAAGCCTACACGTAAAGAATATGTTTCTTTGTCCCCTGGGCATATCGCACTTGAACCGTCCGGCTGTCTGTTTGTACATCAAGTTTCATTTTTCCAAAGTTCTTCGTGTACCATTGGCTTCATAATTTACAAACATACTTATAAGTACAAAGTACATGATCTGGGCAACTTGTATAACACCGGTTAAATTTTTTTTTTCAAACGGAAAATATCGATAGGTTTAACCTTAACCGGCAAATTGGATATATCTTAAGTTCTGTCTGTACATATGGCTTCATAATTTCCATACATACTTATCAATACAAAGAACACATTTTTGCCACGTTATATTACTGTGCTATCCATATTTCCCAATTATTTCCCTTTTAATCACCTTGAAAATAGGACCTTGTAAGGTCACCCTTTTCAAGAAAGTTTGATTTATATGAAATTTCTCCTAACTACTTAATAGACGTGTTTTGACGGGTTTTGCCTCCCTTTTTTTGAGGCCTCAAACAGTGAAAAAATGCTCTCTTTAAGCCCAAAACACTGATTTTCGTTTAAGAAAGAAATGTGTTAAAAAAAGTAATCACCTTTTTGGTGCTGCCCCCATCAAAATGGTACATCAGAAGGGGGATGTGTCCCCTTCTGTTTGGGAGGGGGGGGTGAATGGGGGCGGCAGTTCCCTACATCGCCGAGAACATTTTGGACATGTGACAGGCTAAAAATAGCCTCAGGTCGATCTTAAGGTAACGCGTAACCAACGCTGAAAAGCCTTTTACTCTATCGCAATCCATTGAGAAGTTGCAACACTTTGAAATCAGTTTTGAAAGAAAAAACAATGCAAAATAGTGATTTTTCGCAATTTTGAGACGTCCCCCATTGACATGGTAACAGGAAATTTAAGATTGAGCATGCTGTTACAAAGGCAACATTAGTGCCAAATTTTATCAGCATTTTTCATAGTTTTTAGCAGTTTGAACTTGTAACATGATGCTTTTCAATGAAAACGGCCATTTTTTACAATATGCTCAAGCGGTAAAATGTTTATTTAAGATATCTTCTATGTCTTCTATGTAGGTATATTTTTCCAATGGTTTCTAAGTTTTGGTGGAGTAAATGCTCATTTGGGTCAAGATCATTGATGTAAAAAATAATTATATTCAATTTCGTTTATACAACCTCTAATTTTAAGTTGATGTATTTCATTTTTAATACTGACATGCTAAGAAAGGTCAATTTCCTTTTAGTTTAGTTAGGGGTCATTTGGGTCAAAGGCAAGATCACCATTGCCAAAAAAATGTATTTTTACTGTTTAACATGTATGACATTTTTCTTTTTTACAAATGTCTTTTCTATTTTGTTGGAACAATAATGAGATCTTCTACCTTTGCAAAAAGTCAGGAGTCAGTAAGGTAAAAGAAACCAGTGCAAAAAAAGAAAAGATTTTTACAATTTTTCCCATGTAGCCTTTTTTATTAATAGATGTCTTTCATCTTTGGTAGGAAGATGACTTGCATGGTCTACTTCGTTTAGATTGCTCAGTGTGGTAAGGCCATGGGTGCCAATAATATATTTTTTAACATTTGCTCATGCAGCCTTTATCTTATGTCTTATGTTTTTGTTATATTTGGAAGGATGCTAGAGCTTCTTCTTTATGATTGGACAAGAGGTCAGTAACGTCGAGGCCATCAGTGCTAAAAATATTTTTTTACACTTTTGCCAAAACAGCCTTTATCTATTGGTGATAGTTTTTCATATTTGGAAGGATCATACCTTGGATGGTCCAGTTTTTGGAGTCACAAGGTCAAGTTCACTTGTGCTTACAATAGGTGTTTTACACTTTTCCTTATACAGCTTATGAATATTTGGAAGGCACGAACTAAAATATACTTCTGCTGTTCCATTAATTTTGAATGGAACTGAGGTCACTGAGTTCAAGGTCAAGGACATGCATTTATATATATTTCATATATTTTTTTTCTAGGTTGAATATCTTTAAGCTAAATAATCTGCAATTACATGCCAACTTTTACTTTTTTACAATAAAATACGTCATGACTATGTTTATATCTTTTGGCAGTTTTTATGTCCGTTAAGTTTGAGTGAATGGGTAAACCTGTTTTGAAAAATTGTGAAAAAATATCTGCATCCGGGGGGAAGGGGGTGTCTAGCAAACACATTCTTGTTTTTTAGTTGTCCTCTACCGGTTCACTAGGAGGGAACTTTGCGTTTACCCTCCGTCCGTAAGTATGTCCGTCCACAAAACTAGATCCCGCGATTGAGCAAAAAGTACTGAAAATATTTTATGAACTTTGACATATGGGTAGATGGCAGTCTGAAGATTATGCACGTTTCTTTTAGTTCTTCCTATGTTGAAAGATTTGCTAGCTATGCAACAAATTTAATAAAATATGACAAATCTAACACAACATTTGGATCCCGTGATAACACAAAAAGGATATAAAATATTGTTTAAGAAACTTGAAACCGCCTCCGTGGTCGAGGGGTTAGAGTCGATGACTTCTTATCCAGGTACTTCTCTGGCGTGGGTTCGATCCCCGGGAGATGCTTTAGTAGTAAACGCGGAGGAAGGTAATCTAGTCCTGGTGTAACTCTCCAGGAACAAAGGTAAGGAAAGTACCCGCCTATATGAATGAAATACTGTTGGGAAAAGGCGTAAAATCAAACAAACGAGAAACTTGAAAAATTAGAATATGGCAGTCTGGGGGTTATGCGCGTTTCATTTTATTCCTATGTTAAAAAATTCCGTTGCTATGGCAACAAATATACTTTAAATATGGCAAATATTACAATATAATTTATGTGATAACTCTAAAGTACTGAAACTATTTTATGAAATTTGAAATATGGGTAGATGGCAAATGAAGATTTTGAACTTCATCTTAAGCTTAACTATAGGAAGAATTTAAGAGCTGTCCTACTCAGCGACCGTGTCCAGATTTCTGACTATAAGTTTTAATTTCTTACGGTATTTACTTCATACTGCAAATATTTGTTTCTGATCACCAACCACATCATTTATGACAAGGATCATTACTTTAAAACATAAGAAGTACCACCACCCCTTGAACTTAAAATGTTCATGAACTAAAATATAACTTCTTTTTTTCCCTAGTAATTCTATAAAAACTAACTTTAAATATATGTTTCTTATCATCAAATAAATCATGTGTGAGAAGATTCAATACTCCATTTGGACTATTTCCAGAATTATGTCCCCCTCGAACTTAGATTTTTTTCTAGAAATTATCATTTACTCAAACTTGTTCATTTCTTACAGGATTAACTTTAAACTCCCACATCATTATAGTATGACAACGTCTAGCATTCATCTTTCCAGAATAATTTCCTCCTTAAACTTTGCATTTTCCTTATTCATTCTTGAACTATTTTATTTCTTCATGGATTTACTTTTAAATTAAAATATATGTTCATTATCATCACCTACATCTGATGTGATTAGATTTATAAGTCTAATCCTCGGTTTTGATGATTATTTAACTTTTAAATTTGGATTTATTTAAGAATTATTATAATCTACTTTAGACTTAAGATAATTGTTCTTTGTCATCACTCACATTATGTACGACAATGTTCCTAAAACTCTGAAAAAGTTATGGTCCCTCTGGAGCATTAATCATAACAGAATAACATGAAAATTGCAGACTCGGTTTGGATGAGTTTGGACATGAGGGATATTGAAAACAAATAAAACATCCCTTATGGCCCCTAGCACCGGCTCGAACGATACTCAGTTTTTATCATTGAAAAGTGTTTGAATCAATGACCCAGACAGACCTTGCAAATATAACAACACTGAAGTGAAGAACGGGGCAATATTTTACAGCTGCCCCACAACACATGAGACTTGATAATCATAAGTCTTTATTTCAAGAGTTATCTCCTCTTTAGTTTTTGAAGTTATATTTTGGTAACAACTCGGGCTGTTTAAAATTAAAGCTCTTTCCTGATATCACTTTTAAATGGCTTGAAACGTAAAGACCATCGAGTCCACATCCCCTGCGCACCTTTGCTTTATAATACTTTTTGTCAATCAATAAATTGTTTTTTTTCTCTGTTTCTATGATTTCGTTTTATGCATCATAAAAGCAGTAATTCCACCCGTGCTCCTTGTGCCCTTACCTGCTTTTGGTTTGGGTCCTCTGGGCACCTTGCCGATGGTCCTGTGTTGCTGGTTGTGCTGTGAGTTTCATTCATTGAACGTCGCCCTTATTTGTTGATCTTGTTTTTCATATTTTGGAACTTTATAACAAATCTACTTAAAACAGAGAAAAGTTGAAACAAACTATCATACTCATCCTGAGCCAAGATATTTAGTTTATCTGTTGTATAAATAAGAATTGCCTTATCAGGCAGGGAAAGTGAACACTGTACTATAATACAGACAAACTAAGAACTAAAACGATTCATGTTCATTCATGTCTTCCACAACGGCATAATTGATCGTGACCTAGGGTTCTAGCTGGTAGGGGACTTTTGCATTCCTTGCAATACTATCATAATTAGTTTTTTTTTCTTTGATAATATTTTTCTGTTCTTGCGTGTCAACATATTGACACTAATATAACA